GTAAGTGGCTTGCCTAACCTTGTGTGGGGGAAATTCTCTTAGGATTTGGTACTGTTATGATATATGAGCGCCGTGTACGTGAGGTGACGAGTACGTACACAGGCTATTTGTTGTAAAACCCGATTTATGTTTACTGAGTAGCAACCTGTTTTCCTTTAATTTGAGTTATACCGTTTAAATCAGTATTAGTCTGTTTTCATTCTTAATTGAGCTATTCTAATATGTGTAGTTATATTGTTTAGTCTAATGCCGCATGTCTATGTTATTTAACTACTTATTTGAACTCTGTGAAGCATGCCTAGTTGATTTCCTGCTTTTCCTTGTTCTTTATCAGTATAATTGTAGAAATCTTGCTGTTAACTATTGTATTTGTCGGTTTGAGCTGTGTGATTACTTTTGAGACTACGAGGCGGTACCTCGGGAGTTCTCCCTGTATATTTATTTTTGAGACTACGAGGCGATTCCTCGGGAGTTCTCCCTGCACATTTACTTTTGAGACTACGAGGCGGTTCCTCGAGAGTTCTCCCTGTATATTTTCTTTTGAGACTACGAGGCGGTTCCTCGGAAGTTTTCCCTGCACATTTACTTTTAAGACTACGAGGCAGTACCTCAGGAGTTCTCCTTGCATATTTACTTTTGAGACTACGAGGCGGTACCTAGGGAGTTCTCCCTGTATATTTATTTTGGGACTACGAGACGGTATCTCGAGAGATCCCTTGCTGTTTACCCATGTGTGTTGTACTGTTGCCTTGATGTGTTTCCTTTTGTTAAATTCTAGTCTCTTATTATACTGTATATTCTCCTGCTTTATTTATTATATACCAGTGGGCCTGACCTGACCTCGTCACTACTTGACCGAGGTTAGGCTTGGCACTTACTGGGTACCGTTGTGGTGTACTTATGCTACTCTTCTGCACATATTTTTGTGTATAGATCCAAGTACTTCTTATCAACCCCTCTACTAATTGAGAGTACTTGATGTTGTACGGAGACTTCAAGGTACATCTGCCATGTCCGCAGACCTCGGAGTCCCCCTCTATTCTCTCATATGTCATTTATCTTCCGTACTTCTTTTGTTAGACTCTGGTGTATAGAGATACTAGTTTCCTCCTATACCTTGTGATTTATGATGTTTCGGATTTTGGGAAGACTGTGTTTTTATAGAGTAATGATTATTTTACATGCCGAGCAGCATTGTTACTAGTTATTTAGTTCTCCACTGCTGTTAGTTGCCAAGTTTTACTTTCGTTTTGTTATTTTTCGCAATTTGTTAGGCTTACCTAGTCGTAGAGACTAGGTGTCGTCACGACGTTATATGGAGGGAGTTTGGGTCGTGACAAGTTGGTATCATTAGAAACTTATTTACCCTCACTGTTTAGGTTTTAACTTAATTACAAGTTGATATACAATTTACCAATTATATATAAATTAGTATTAATAAG